CTCTGCTGCCAGACTGTGGCCATCAGTAGGACATCCACTGAGGGCTCCCAGACTGAGGGGCAGGCTTGGCTGAGGGAACCCCATCCCCCAGTGCACGAATTTCGTGCACCAGGCCTCTAGTCTATCTATAATAATAAAAGCATAATATGCTAATTAGACCGGACGTCCTTCCAGACGAAGCCGGGGCTGTGAGGGAAGCCCGGGTCCCGGGTGACGGAGAGAAGCTGGTGCCGGCAGCCGGGGGAAGGAAGGCCTACTCTTGCACAAATTTTGTGCATTGGGCCTCTAGTATCTATAATAATAAAAGCATAATGTGCTAATTAGACCGAACAGCCAAACGACCTTCTGGACGTCCTTCTGGATGAAGCTGTGGCGGGGGCTGAGGCAGAGGCAGTTAGGGGTGATCAGGCAGGCAGGCAAGTGGTTAGGGGCAATCAGGCAGGCAGGCGAGCGGTTAGGGGCGATCAGGCAGGCAGGCAGAGTGGTTAGGGGCATTCAGGCAGGCAGGCAGAGTGGTTAGGAGCCAGTGGTCCCGGATTGCGAGAGGGATGTCTGACTGCTGGGCCTAAACTGGCAGTCAGGCATCCCCTGAAGGGTCCCAGATTGCAAGAGGGTGCAGGCTAGGCTGAGGGGAATCCACACCACCCGCTCCCGTGCACGAATTTTGTGCATCAGGCCTCTAGTATATATATAAAAGCCTAAGTGACTGTTTGACCCGTAGCTATAATGTGCACTGACCACCAGGGGGCAGACGCTCAACACACAGGCATGGAAATTTGGAAGAGACTGATGAATCTGAGGGCAAGGGGGAGGAGGGGGGTGGGAAAGTTCTTGCAATCCAGGACCCCTTGGGGGATGTCGGACTGCTGGTTTCAGCCCGGTCCCCGCAAGCCAGGCCGAGGGACCCCACCCGTGCACAAATCCGTGCACCAGACCTCTAGTTCAGCTATAAAAGGAAATGAACATGAACTAAAGTTCATGTACTGATGATCAGCATGCCACAACATGGATAAACTTAAAACATCATGCCAAGCAAAAGAGGCCAGGCATAAAAGACCACATATTGTATGACTCCATTTTTATGAAATGTCCAGAATAGGTAAATCCATAGAGACAGAAAATGGGTTGGTGGGGTGGATGGGCAGTAACTGATCTAGGTACAGCGTTTCTTTTCAGGGGGATAAAAATGTTCTGGAAGTAGATTGTGGTGATGGTCGGACAACTCTGTGGATATACTAAAACAACGGAATTACATACTTGAAGTGGGTAAATTTACAGCATGTAGATTATATTTACAGGGGTGGGCAAAATAGGTTAATAATAATACAGTAATTAATATAAGAATAAACTTTTGTGTACTCACAACTGTAAGCCTACTTTTGCCCACCCCTGTATATTTCTTAAAAAGGCAGCCGGACAGATTTGGCCCAAAGACCAGAGTTTGCCAATACCCAGGCTACACCATCCCAAGAAAACAAAACATAGGAGAAATGAGGAGTAACAATATGTTAATTCTTATCTGCTGAGCTTGAGAGGATTCAGGTCCTGACAGTTCACAGAATCTTAAGGGCAGGTTCGACCAGCTGAGATCTGCAGGCATTGCAGAGCCTCAGGGTCCAGATAACACTTCACGGTATAACGGGGGGTGGAAAAAGTGCTCTGGGGGCTCCTGTCCTCAACAAGAGCCCAGGGGCTGGCAGAGGTGGTGCCATCAGAGGCTCCCGCCAGCCTGGGTGTGCCTGCTCCTGACCCCGTGTCTCCCCACCAGGGAGAGAAGTCCTTTTTCCTCCAGCCGGGCGAGAGGCTGGAGCGAGGGATCCAGGACGTGTACGTGCTGTCGGAGCAGCAGGGGCTGCTGCTGAGGGCCCTGCAGCCCCTGGAGGAGGGGGACGGTGAGGAGAAGGTCTTGCACAAGGCTGGCGACCACTGGCTCATCCGTGGCCCCCTGGAGTACGTGCCGTCTGCCATGGTGGAGGTGGTGGAGGAGCGTCAGGCCATCCCCCTGGACCAGAACGAGGGCATCTACGTGCAGGACATCAAGACGGGAAGGGTAACTCCGAGGGCCGGACCTGTCACTGCGCTGGGCGAGGGGGGGAGCTGATGGGCGAGGTGCGTGGGGGAGGCCGGGGGGGGGGGGGGGGACACGTCAGTAGCACTGATAGCAGCTGAGCCACCGGCTGGCAGGTATGAGGGCGTTCTGTGGAGTATGTGCCTTTGCCTTCCCTTTGTCTTAAACATCGAGCTTCACATTTTAGACACGCCCCCAGGGGGAAGGTGAGCCAGGGTTCAGGATGGGGACTCTGTTCCCACTGCAGATCTGGCCCCTGGCGTCAAGGCCTGACTGGGGTGGGCAGAGGAACAGTAAGAACCGACCTCCTCCCCCAGGCCCTTATCCTGATAGAGTCCTTCCTCTTTGACCCTCACCTGAAACCTTGACCTTGGTTTGACTTAGGACCACATCTCTGGCCTCTCTTTCTAAGAGTCCAACCTACAAGTAGAGCTCAGAATCCAGGTAGTGTTAGTGTATGCCCCCTGGTCCCTAGGATGACATCAGTCCTTAGGACACCGGCCAAGCTGCCCAGGAAGGAAAATTCCAAGTCCTCAGCACTAGACGTGAGATGTCATTCACTCAACCCTGTGAGGTAGCCGCCGAGGGGTCCCTTTAGCGGGTGAGGAACTGAGGCCGGGAGGTGACAGAGTGACAGAGCCCGCAGATGGCGGGTGTGAACGCAGCCTCATCCCAGAGGCTGTTTAATGGCCTGGGCTCTCTGCTGGGTGGGCCTCTCCCCTGCGCCTTCCCTGCAACCCCCTCCTTGTCCCCTGGAGGTGCGCGCGGTGATCGGAAGCACCTACATGCTGACGGAGGACGAGGTCCTGTGGGAGAAGGAGCTGCCTCCGGGGGTGGAGGAGCTGCTGAACAAGGGGCAGGACCCTCTGGCCGACAGAGGGAAGGAGGTGACCAAGACGCTGCAGCCCTCCGCTCCCCGGAACAAGACCCGCGTGGTCAGCTACCGCGTCCCTCACAACGCGGCGGTG